GATCTCCTCTGTGACTCCCCTAGAGGAGTCTGTCAAACCCTCCAAACAGCATCCCATCTGCAACTGACACCTGATTGCATGGTCCAAGTGGCAGAGCAGCCTACATAACAGTCTGGACCTGTTGAAGAGCTTCACTTCTTCCAGGCCCTACTCAAAGCTAGCAGCCTTCCAAGTCATTTGGTATATGGGCCAGAGTAGCACAATTAAGTGAGGAATGTATTGTCTCCAGAATTCAAATAGGACTACTAAACACTGTGCTTCTTTCTTGGTGGTAGAAGGGGCCAGGTGTAATAACTCATTCTTAATCTTAATACCACTGAACTAAAAGTTTCACTGAAGGCCCTTAAATTAAGCTTGTATTTATTTCACATTCTCTGATGTGCATATGTGTTACCAACGAATCCAAAGTTGCCTCCTGCTCACTTGATTCAATCACCACAATGTCATCAATGTAACAGACCAGTGGGATATTCTGTGGAAGAAACAGATGATCAAGAGCCCTCAAACTAAGTTTTGACACAGGGCTAGAGCATTAATACATCCTTGAGGTCAAACTGTCAAGGTATACTTCTGGCTTTGCCGAATGAAAGCATATTGCTTCTGATGATCCTGATGGCCAGATACCTGGAAAAAGCCATCTACTAGATTAATATCTGCATACCATATACCAGGAGATGTGTTCGTCTGTTCAAGTAAGGACACCACATCTGGTATAACAGCTGCAATCAGTCACTACTTGGTTAAGTTTTCAACAGTCAACTCTCCTCCTCCACAATCCATCTGCATTCTGCACAGATGTAATTGGAAAGTTAAAAGGAAATATAGCATGCCACCCTTGATCTTTCAAATTCAATATTATGAAGGCTTTGGTTTGATTTTTCTACAATGTGAACTCTATGGCTGCTGAAGAGGAAATCTTCCAAGGAACACTTATAAATCTTCAGGCTATGCATATCTGGAGCTGGTCCCACTAAGTTCATTCTTTTCTTTGGCCACTGTACTTTGAGATATTAGAAGTTGGTTAATTTTATCCACAAGCTCATTTTTTGTCATTGTCAATTTATGCAGAAATGCTAGAAGCAACCAGCCAGCATCATTATTTTCCTTATTATTCCACAAATTGTCAAAAGTTTTATATACAGATCCAGTGAGGATGGTGTACCAAAAACCAGAGGCCTTGAACCAGACCAATGACTCATTGCAATGGATAAATGGATGGGACACACAGTCAGGCTGATGGGACACACAGAAGCCTCCAGTGCCATCAGGATGGAGAGGTGACAAAGAGGCAGTAGGGAAGGAGTGAAGATTTTGCTGTTTCAGGTGTGGGGTTTTTGTTCTGTTTTGATTTAATGGGTTTCTTTCTTTTTGCTCTTGCTTTTGTTTGCTTGCTTATTTTGTTTTGTTTTCTTTCATGGGGGGGGCAACAGGGATAAGGGAGTTATTTGGCAGAACAGAATTGAGGTACATGATATGAAGCCTCCAAAGTTTCAATAAAGAAGTTTAAAAAAAGTTTTATATACAGAATCACTAAATTCCCTTTCCATACAGCAAGACTTTTCAATATTTCTAACCATGGGTTTTGAGAGTTCTCAACACTACCAGGAGAATCTTTAATAATTGTAGGTGTTGGAACATTGCCAAGCCTGTTCCACATACTTAACAAAGTCCTCCTTACAATTGTTTCCCTAGGACCACAAACTGTTATAAGTCAGAGTTCTCTAAAGGAACAGAACTAACAGAATGACTGGGGGGAAAGGGGGTAGCTGGATATATATGGCTTTATCAGAGTGGCTCACAGGCTGTGGTCAAGCTAGTCCAACAATGGCCATCCTCCAAAGGAAAATTCAAGAATCCAGTAGGTGTTCAATCCACAAGGTTCAATGAGTCAGCTGGTCTTCAGTATACATGACTGGAATCTCCAAGAAATAGGCTCTAATACCAGTGAAGCAATGAACTTGCCAGCAAGAGTGAGGCCAACCAAATCTAAAGTTTTCTTTTTCTCTTCTTCCATGTTTTTTAATAAATCTGTGGTCCAGATTTAAGGTCAGTCTTCCAACCTCAAGTGATCTAGATATAAGATGGTTCATCCTACCTCAAATGGTCCAATTAACTAAAAGTCTCTCACAAGTGTGTCCAACTGCTTGTGTTTTTAGTTAATTATAAATGTAGACAAGTTGATAACTAAGAATAGCCAGCATGGATACCAAATTGTAAAGTACTTCTCTTTCTGGGTTTATATTCAACAAATTCATTTACTAAAAAGAGTATGTACTAAATACACATGTTCTACATACTGTTTTAACAAATGGAATGGATATATCAATAAAAACAAATACGGCTTGCTCCATGGAGCCTAAGTTCTTTATGACACTTTTCTATTGTTTAATATTTCATAGCACACCAACATTACTCCAACTCCTAGTTGAGCATGATCCTTGATCTCTAAGGATCTCTCTAAGTTAATGTCTCCTAACCTGGAGAAGTAAAGATAATCTCACCTACCACAGAAAAGCATTAAGTGGACAATGTAACACAATAATTACTGTGGTAGTCAGAATAGAAATGGTCCCTCATAGGCTCATGTATTTGAATGCTTGGTCATTAGAGAGTGACACTACTTGAGAGGGATTAGGAGGTATGGTCTTGTTGGAATAAGTGTAGCTTTGTTAGAGAAAGTGTTTCACTGGATGACCTCTGGGGTTTCAAAAGCTCAAGCCAGGTCAAATATTGTTCTCTTCCTGCTGCTTTTGGATTCTAAGCTACCATGAATGCCTGCATGGTGCCATGGTCCTCATCATGAGGATAATGGACTAAACCTTTTAAACTATAAGCAATCTCCAATAATAAAAGTTGCCATGGCCGTGGCTTCTCCTCACAGCAACAGAACACTGACTAAGACACTCATGAATCACTTAGCTCAGTACCTTACACAAAATGAGCATGCAGTAATTGTTAGATATTTTGAAGAATATGTTTAGTTATAAGATAAAGTTTTGTATGAGAGGTAAAAATTAAATTCTCCATAGGTGACAAAGAATAAACTTAAGTCACAGGGCATTCTGTCACTGCCACAGGCAAGCCACTTCCCCGATAGCATGCCACTCTCTTGCTAACTTTTTCTTTCCTCCAAAAGACTGAACTGTGAATAGAAGAAACATGCCACATTTTTCTTAACATCCCTAAACCTTAGTACAGTACCAGGCAATAAAAAACCCACTAAGTATTTGTAAAATGAATACATGGAACACCATGGCCACAGAGTTTCAAAGAGATGAGCTATGCTAGAAATGACAACCACAAGATCCCAACGACAATGACAAGTAAAGGGAAGTGTTTCATTTTTCTCAACTTTTCATTACCTAGGCTACTATTATTTTTCTTGTCCAACTCAAAAATGAAATGTGAAAAATCTGTTTTCCAAGCAAATAAGCCAGGCAAGAGTCTCTACAAAACTACCACTAGAGGGATCCACAAGGCCTTAGTGTCCCTGAAGGAAGAATCCACACAATCCCTATGGGGGACCTCTCAACCACCCATGTAGGAATTCTGAAATTATTCCTACAGTTTCCTAAACCCTAATTTCCACTGAGTAAATGTATTAGTTCTTAAAAATTATGAATGGAAAATGGTAACAATACAAAGGACATTTGTTTACAAGGTATCCTGTGTTGGCAGAGGCAGAACTTTCAGCAACCCTAAAGCTACTATTTCCAGACATCACAGCTCCCACCACCATCAACCACAGTTCTCAGAAAACTGTAAGCCAGAATAACAGCATGCTTCTATTAGCAGGCATTTGGAAGAAAAGTTGAAACTAAAGCCAAACAGCCTATTACAAAATTTTAAAGTCATATGGTTATCTCCGACCCACCTCTAAGATCCTAAAGAATGAAACATACTACTACTAGCTGTCTGCAGAAGAGCTCACTGTTTACGATGAATCTGGTATCAGAGCATCTCTACAAAATGTTATTTTTTTTCAGATTTTAGTCTGTTAATAGGTTCTAGTTTATCAGAGCTAAAGATTTAAAGAATTCCATTTTCCTATATACCAAAACCCCAAAATTAAAAACCAAGATTTTCACACTTCAAAACATTTTAGCCTTTTGTTTCATTGAAATACTTTTTAAAATATTAATATGCATAATTTTAAAACATCATCAGTATTATCACTCATGAAAGTAAATCAGAGTGAAAATTGGAATAGATATTTTTGTAAGATATGGTACACACAATTCCAAATTATCACACTCCATGGTTACTGAGATCCATTTTAACTGGCTGATTTTCTTACAAAGAGTTGTTTCTTTGTCAATTAAAAACCTGTTAATGGGTGGTGGTGGTGCAGGTCTTTAATCCCAGCAAAGGCAGACAGATCTCCTGAGTTTGAGGCCAGCCTGGTCTACAGAGTGAGTTCTAGGGCAACCAGGACTACACAGAGAAACCTTGTCCCCAAAAACAAATGATCAAACAAACAAAACCCTGTTAAAACTGAACAGTAATTAGACTGTGTCCTCGTGTATTCATCTATCACACTTAAGAGAATTTTAGCTCACAGGTAGCAATTCAAACCCAAAGAGTCCAGGACAATTTAAATCTATCATTAGGGAGCTCCAGAGATGGTTCAGCAATTAAGAACACTTGCTGTTCTTTTAGATGACCCAGGCTCAATTCCCAGCACCCACAGAAGTAGCTCACAGGTATCTGTAACTTTGCTGTCAGGGGATTTGATGTCCCTTCTGACCTCCAGAGGCACCAGACATACACGGGAGACAGAAATGCATGCAGGCAAAACACTCAAATGCATAAAACAAATAAATTGAATAAGCCCAGTTTTAAATGTTAATGTGCATCTCCCTACAAAATTCACATGTTCAGAGTAGCAATTATTTTCTTGTTAGTGTCACTAGCTCCTATACAAACCACTTGTTTGAGAACAAAAAACAAACAAGACATGATAAAAGAAAATAGAAAGTTACAAGAAACCAGGTACTTACCATTACTCTGCAGTGTTAATCCTGAGAGATCTTTTTTTTTTTTAAGGGAAAGAAAATGAAACAAAAATCATTATCATGAAAACTTATCTTCCATTACATATAGAACATCAATTTAAGCCAGAAATTGCAAAACTTCATGAGCCATTTCAACTTAAAAGTAGGGTAAATCCTAGCTATATATGTTGTTTAAATTTATAATACTTCCCACCTTTTTTTTTAACAACAATGTACAAAGTAGGCAAAGTATCAATTTTATATACTCAGTTCTAAAAGTCAAAAAACACAAATTTATTCCCAAATTTGTTCAGACTTAAGTATTTTCATTTCATTTAAATTATCTGAATCTTGAGCAAAGCATGATAGTGCATACCTCTAATTCCACTGCCCAAGAGGCTGAAGTAGTAGGGTCAAGATTCATCCTTGGCTACATAGCCAGCTCTTGGCCGGCCTGGGACATGAGACTTTGTCTAAAATAAAATTTTAATTCTGATTCTTTAACTTTATTTGAAGTCTTGCATTAATTTTCAAATACAAGCTTTAAATTAGAAAAAAAGACCTATTACTAGGGTCTTTTCCCTTAATATATCTACAAAGGTTCTGCAATGACAGTCAACTTACCAATTCCAGGTGAAACAACTCGTTCATAGTGATATGGATTCACACAGACACTATCACATTTTAAGTCAAATGCATACTGGCAATATTTAACATGTTTTAGTTCATTCTTGTGTAGATCAGGCCACCTCCATAGACGGGCATATATGACATGAGGAAACCCTTTCCGACCAGCCACCTGGGAAAAGAAACAATCACTGATTAAGTATCGGTTTTGTTTTATACATTACACAAAGAACTTAATCTACGTCCTCATTTAATCTTCAAATTCTACAAAGTCAGCAACTGTGATACTGCAAAACATACACATGGTTTGGCTCATATTTCCTTTCATACAACTAAAATCTTTAAAACTGTATCTTTTTTCTGAGATATGACTTGCCTGAAGGCTACAGCTCCCAAGTATCATCAGAATGGAGGTTGGTCACAGGAAAGACTAAGGCAGAAAGAGGAGGCTGGAACTTTAGCCACAACCTCTGTAGAAGGGAAACGGGCCATTATGTAGAGCTGATCACAAGCAATGACTTAAAATTGTATCTAGGTAATGAAACCTGGATTGGAAAAACAAAGAACAGTGTTTGGGAACTTTGGGGTAGCTGAGCATGTAGAGGTCCCTTGAAGTTGGTCTACCTGGAGAGGACATGGAGGTTTACTATGCCTATGCAGCTTTCAATCTGCACCCTTTGCAATAATCCTTCATAACGGCAAACAAGGTTTCCTCAGTTATGGGAGATGTTTGAGTAAATTAAGTGCACTGTGGGTGGGACTGTGGGAACCCTTTATAGGCAACAGAAAGCACAGGTAAACAACCAGATGATTATGATTGGCATCTTCGAGTAGACTGGGTCAGAACTGAACTGAAGTAGAGGATGCTCAGGAACATTACCTGCAGACATGCTTATTTATTTACCGAGATAAAAGAAACCTTCATGCCTTTTAAGGTCACCAGAGATACGTAGAGCGTACAGTGGGAAAAACTGGTTTGAGAGTCTCACTCCCCACCTACCTCCACTGCCAGTGTCAGATTATAACCATCATTCCATAGATGAGAAATCCAAAGTTCAAAATAACTAGAGCAAAGGAGTACACACCTGTAATCTCAGCACTCAGGAAGCTGAGGTGGAAAAATCCTCAAGTTCCAGGTCAGGCTAAGATACAAAGAGTACATAACCTGGCCATGGTCACACAACCGAGCAAGAGTTTGAACCAGTTCAATTTCTAGGTCTGCACTCAGGTTTTTTAAATGCAAAAAAGTATGATTTTTGTCATAAACTATGCCTAAAATGTAGAGATAAACTTTTAAAATTCTAACACCCCATTTCTATACTTCTTTATACAAATGATACTGCTTTACAAGAAAAAAAAAAAGTGACCAAAGAATGTTTCATACCAATGGAAAATACAACATGCAGAAATTACAGGAGTCCAAAAAGGTTGGCAGATATGGGGAGTGTGACCTAAGTGATGAATGCCAAAGTGCTACAGGTATTTCTCAAGATATGGGGCTTCTCATTTATTTTTCAAATTTTCTTCATTGAATTGTTTTTGAATAAGAATATTTTTAAAAAACGCTATTAAGATCCATCTTTGGAGTTTTCTCCCACATACTCTCATCACACATACACACACACACCAGCAATAGATGCACAGTATGTCAAGAGGCAGAGTTATGGAGCTTGACAGATGGCCCAGCATTAAGAATACCTGGAGCTCTATTAGGAGGAGCACAGGTGGATCCCAGCATCTGGGAATGCTCTTCCGGCCTTTGTACATACACATGTACAGATATATACATAATAAAAAGAAATCTTTAAATATATGAAATAAATATACAAACAGATGGAACTCGTGTTAAATTAGCAGTAAATTAGGGGGAAATTTAGAAATATCTATTTCTCTTCCACCACAGAAGACACACAAGACTATAAGACTAACCTGAAGCCGTCCATCCAGTGTTCTCTGTATGGTGACACATTTGCTAGGATGAGCTCCATTTGTAGTTATAGCTGTTATTAATGAATCCAATTCATCTTTTTTCTCTTTCAGCTTCTTTACCAAACTTTCAATTGCTCTTTTTGCAAATGTTTCGCTTTCTCCACCTTGTCTATGACACATCAAACTATGTACAATGCTCAGACAGGCGTCATTACTTGTCGGTGTATTTGTTATAGACATATTGTCCATTTGTTCAAGTTTGTTCTTTTAAATCAAACTCTCCAGTTTCTGGAGTAATTCTGATCTTGTGAAGGCAGTGAAAACCAATGGCCAGTGCTGCAAGAAGAGCTGCCCGACATCTGGTGAACAGGGTAATCTAAGAGAGAGGGGGAGAGAGAGAGAGAGAGAACAATGTATTTCACAAGGGCAAAAAAAAAAAAAAAAAACCCGAAAAAACTTCCACTTAAGTCAAAGGGCTCAGTGCTCATAGTTTCAAAAATGTTCAAAGTTTGAAACAGGTTAACTATAAAATGTAGCCAGTTTTGATAACCCCAAATCATTTTTTTTTTAAAATCAGCCCTTCTCACTAATGCAAAGACACACTAAATCGAGTCTTTCCAAAAGTAACATTACCCCAAACCTTTCCTTAGTTATTTCTGTACCCTTTCTATTTTCTACGCCACTGCTGCAATTTTGAGCCTTCTTGAAATTCATGTTAATCATTGGTATTTAACATTTACTTCCTTTAGAGCAGTGGTTCTTAACCTTCCTAGTGCTACAATGGTTTTAATTCAGTTCCTCGTGTTGTGGTGGCCCCCAATCATAAAATTACTTTGTTGCTACTTCATATGCTACTGTTAGGAATTGTAATGTAAACATCTAATATGTAGGATGCCTGATATAGACCCACAATGAAAGGGTCATTCATCCCTTAGAAGTCCCCAACACCTTGCAGTCCTTGACTGTGGTGGTTTGAATAAGAGCGACCTGATAGACGCTTATATTTATATACTTGGTCCCCAACTGGTAAAACTGTTTGTTAAGGACCAGAAGATGTGAACTTGTTGAAGGTGTGTCACTGGGAATGGGCCATGAGGTTTCCACTTAGTGTTCTCTTGTTTTTCCCACAACCAGTCCCTTCCCCAACACACACACACACACCACCTGTCATAGAACAAATTTAAGCTTGCAAGCAAGCTTATTTATAGCCCACAATTAGTGTGAATTTGTGTCAATGTATAATTTAAGTATTTGCATTAATTTGTATTAATATTAGAGGTCATTCTTTGTTAAACTTAAGTTGTTTGGGCCATGACAATATTGCAAAGGTTGTTTTAATTATAAGTTTCTTTGAATACAAAAATAACAGTTTTCTTAAAAACAGCCTTTTCATATCTTGGACTTTGTTGTATTTCTTGGATCATAAGGATCTTAAATATAATTTAGAAGTTTCTTACAAGAAAATAATATTGGCAGGGATATGTAAGTGTATTGCTGTATTATATGGCTTTGGATTATGGAAATGTGATAGGCATGGGCAAATACTGACATGATATAAATAAAACTGTATGTTCTAATTAAAGTTCCAGCAATATACATGATCCTTCTATAAAATGGGCATAATATCTGTCCTGCCCACACTATATAGACTACCTGATTAATAAAATGCAACAATGTATATAAAAGCAAAGTAGGAGCCATAATTGGCCAAAACAGCCTATCTACATTTTCAAAAGCTCTAGGTAGAGATTAGTAGGCATGTATCAAAAAGTATTCTCTCAGACCAAAGTCCCATTTCTGTAACAACTCAGGGCACCTCCTCTAATGGCTTGAAATTAAAATACAATCTATACATTTGAAGAAATACAACTACTTCCTAACTTTAGATAAAGGAGGAAAAGACTCAAATAGTAAAATCTGCATTTCAATGTATTACACACCAATCAGAAAGTGTAAATAAAGAATTTAAGAGCCAGAATGTAGCTCAGCAGAATATATTTTTAACATGGGGTAAACTCTGGAACCCAATTCTTTTTTAAGGAGTTAAGATGCTTGCACTTTATATAGCCTCATTAACATGAGTTACCTATCCAGATGTCTTAAGACAAACATGTTGGCACATGTTGGTAACACTGATTTTCCTCAAATGGTGAAAATAAAGCTCCAAAGAAAAAGTTTCAATTTAAAAAAATTGAATTGCTATAATTGAACTATACACTAATTATGTTTTCCTATGGGAAATTTTAGGACATTTTCAAGTCATGTAAGACGAAAAGAAAACTAACTCTTCACTGCCTCTTGTGGAAAGCTCTCTCTTAGACCCCCAGCTACAAAAACCTCTCACAAAAATCTCTACAACATCCTTTAAAGAGCATTGCTAACTTGGTAAGAACTACTAACTTTGCCTGGGTGTAGTGGTACACACCAGTGGCCCCAGCTAAGATAGGAAACCACCTAGCCACAGTTTCTCAAACCGTAAGTTGTGATCCCACCTGGGGGGGCCTGTAATTAAATGTGGAAGTCACAAAAAGAAAAAATAAAAAAATAAAAATAAACCAACAACAACAGTAGTAAGAGGCTTCTGAGTCCACACAGACACAATAAACTCAAGGTGTTTCTGGCTCTCCATACTCAATGTGTGACTTCAAAGCAGCCAGCCAGATTGTGGACAACTGTTATCAACTGTGGGTTCTTATTGCAGTCTCCAGCTCTTACTAAATGGTTTACAGAGGACAGAGGACAAAGACTTAAGACTTCCCTACTAGTATTCTTCAGCATGTATCAAGTTAGTGTAACTTCAGATTACATTATATTAGAATGTTTGATTTTAAAAACTGTCAGTTGCGTGGCTAACCTGAGTTTTTCTTTTACTTGCTTATTGAATTTGGGTTTAGGGTTAGGATTAAACTTCCAACAATTTTGAGATGGCTCTAAACATACGTTCTTCCAACTTGTACTGTGTATGCATGGGAAGCAGTGTTCTCAGCACTGTTGATCACAGGATCAAAACACTGACCAATTCTGGAAAATGGTGAAGATGTTCTATGTCTAGCAGCATCAAATATTCAGCAAAGATTTAATTCTTTATGTAAAAAAAAAAAACAACAAACATTCTTCCTATTAGTACACATTTACTTTGATCTTCAATAAATGGTAAATTTTATGTATAGCAAAAAAATTTTAAGTATGTTTTATTAGTAAATGTTTGTTTTATATATGTATTTTATATGCTTATATATCCAAATCAAATAAAAATGAAAAGCTTTTTTTTTTTTTTTTTTTTTTTTTAAGAGAAAAAATTTCTCTTAGCTGTCCTGGAACTCATTCTGTAGACCAGGCTAGTCTTGAACTGAGAGACTGTCTCTCCTGAGTGCTGGGATCTAAGGTTTGAGATAGTGGTGAAATGTGCACCTATGTTATATGAAGTAGTGAGTTCAATCCCTACAGCATGTGTGTGCACAGCAAATCTAGAAAACCCAAGAATATTACCAAACTAAAGAACTAAAAACAGGTATGAAGTGAATGGAACAACAGAAAGCTCCTATGTCAAGTTATAGTTATAACAGACTCCCCAAATACCTACAGTTTACAGATTTATTTTGCTTAAGTTCTTCAGTTATCACAAATCATATGGTAGTCCTATCTACTGCCCTATTTGGAGACTGACAGAAGCACTATCTTTCCAGGTTAAGGAGCAGAAGGGAAAGGACAGCTCACACATTATCTTTTAAAGGTTATTACTTCTCCTTGCTTTTGATAGGCCAAAGTCACATGGCCATTCCAGTGATTCCCAGCAGGGATAAGGGATGTTTGGTCTCTGGTCATAACACCTGTAATGTGCCTGATACCTCACATCAGAAGTCGAGCAGGGTCAGGCCTGGTTAGTGTTAATTGGGAGTTTTTGATGGTCACAGATGGAAGGAGGAAGTAAAAAGCAGAATACTAGCGGTCGTCTAACAGTAAAGGGTTGGTCATTATTAAACATCCTTCAAAAGAACAAAACAAATGACCCAGTCCAAAAGGACAAGTTTCTGGGCTAAGAACCCTAGGCTATCACAAATTTAAAGAAGAGGGAGTAATAAAGGGGAAAAGAAGCTAATTCCATTACATGCTGGGAGAGCCATCAGAATACTTGGTGGAATAGTACTGTCTACACACATCAAAATGGAATTGCCAGGCTAAACAGGAGTGGGGGAACAGAGAAAACAAAACAGAAAAAGAGTCAAATATTTTGTCTAGAGCAGGCTTACATTAGGAAAGAAGAGGAGTAAAAGCAACAGACTGTGGCAAAAAGACTTCCAGAGCTAGGAATGTAGTTCCATAGCAACACCAACACCAGGTTTGGGGGGAGAGGATAGAAGGGACAAAGGGAACTACATTACATATACCAACCATATAATTTTCTAGAAGTTATGTGTTTTGGTGAGTGATTATAAAACCAATACTTAGTATGAAAATATTTTTAGAAAAAAAATCAAGAGGTTTGCTTTTTCGCAGAGGTGATAGTACTGGCTTACTGAGATGTGACTAGGAAGAAATTCTAAATATAAACTTCACAAACAAGTAAAACAATTGTTCAGGCTTAACTCAACTCCCTGGAACAAGTTACAGCCTAAATGCTACACTGACATTGACATTCCTCTGAGAGTAGCTAAAACATCCAAAAGCATTAAGAATACAACCAATGCAACAAAAAGTATTTGTACAGTAACTTCTAAGGCGAACCATGAGACAATAGGGACATATGCGTTTACTCAAAGTCTTAGATTTAAATGTTTTTCATGACACCAGCTTTAAATAATCAGTGAGCAGTGGTGGCTCACACTTTTAATCCCAGCAAGCAGGAGGTAGATGGATCTCTGTGAGTTTGAGGCCAGCCTGGTCTACAGAGTTAGTTCCAGGACAGCCAGGGCTATCAGAGAGGAAACCCTATCTCAGGTGTGTGGGGAGGGGTGGGGGGGTTCGGGGAGGGGACAGGGACGACCAAAAACAAAAGAACTATTAGCACACTCTGAAGTTAAGCACAATATTGTGCATGCATGTAATCTCAGCACTTGAGAGGCTGGGACAGAAGGATTGCCATAAATTCAAAGTCCGTCTGGACTACTGAATAAGCTCTTGTCTGGGGGAGAGGGAGGTGTTAAACACCTTCTGTTTAGTAAGTTAAAATTGTAGTTTAACATGGTGGCACACACCTGTAATCCCAAACCTCAGGAGTTGAAGGCAAAAGCACTGAAAGTTCATAACCAACCTGGGCTACACAGAGAGCTTGTTTAAATATGCTGTTTAAAAGGGATGAATAAACACTATAGCGGGCATCTACTTCATCTGCCAGCATATACTTCCTTTTTTGCAATGGTAGTCTGGTTTTCCAGG